GGGTGATTTTGAAGATATTTGCACCATGCAAGTACTGTCCAGACATGGGCTGAGAAAGTACATTTGCAACATAGCAGATGCACAAGAGCAACGGCAATTCTTAAGCAAAATGGCCCTCAGTGCACTTCCTTTTGTTAACTGCCTCTAGCAAGGGGCAGCCTTGGATCCCAAGTAAGATATCCCAAGAAAAGTTTTTAATACTTGTGAGAGATGTGATGCTTTCCTTTGAAACACATGAAAAACTGCCAAAGGTTCTATGATGTAGACATATCTAGGAACTAACTCTCCAAAACCATGAGGCCGAACTACAATAACTTTAATTGCATTATCTGAAAAGAGGCAAATATCAAATCAAACTGTAACTGCTGCATTTGCTGTTGCTGCTCAAACTGGCTTACCATGTTCTACACCCCATTAAGATTTCATTAACATTATAAAAGGGTGTTTATCAAACTACAGAAATCTGGCTGGGTAAGATTTAAGTTTATGTAGGAGCTCCCTGCTTTATCCATTTCTTTCTCCCTGTGAGGAGATAAATACACAAGGCCAGAAAGATTTACTGGAGATGTGCCTTCAGGCAGAATCACAGAGAGGATGCAGCACTTGAAGGTTCAACAAATGGATAAAAATGGTTCAAGTAATGGAATCCACATTTTCCACTTAGAAATGGTATCGAGCTAAATATATATACCCAAAACTATTTTCTAGGATGTTGGTAAACAAATGAAAGTAGACACAAAAGATAATTCAGTACAGCAGAACACTAAGGACATAATGGAACCACAATAAATTCCAAAGCTGTGATGAGAAGCATTTACAAAAAAAAGAAAAAAAGAAAAGAGTATCTTATTTACACATTCATGCTTCCTCTTTAGCAACATGGTATTTACATATCTATAACCATTTTTAACACAGTTTGTGTATAAATTTAAAACTGACCACAAATCTAACATTTTAGCACATTCACAGGAATTTTAAATTATTTATTTCTATTTCTGCAATATGGCATAAAATGGCACAACAAATCTATTAAATCCAAAGTATTTTTAGCTGGGGCCAACTATGCAATTAAAGCTCAAAAGTCACCTTTAACATCTGAACCCAGAGAGGATGGGACATTTCCCAGTGTGGCTACTGTGAAATATCACAAAGAGAAACCTGTACAAGTATTGGCCCCATACCTTCAGTCTGGAACAAGAAGGTTAGGAATATATATCTACCATTTTATTTTTAAGTACTTTTACAGTAAGGTGCTTAGTGAGGGCTTGTTTGTAAATGGAAGGGTAAAATACGTACACTTCCAGTTCAGTCACATCAGTCAATACTGTTCAAATCCATTGTGTGTAGAGAACTGCATTAATTTTTCTTTTTTGTGATGCCCACAAACACACACACAGAAAGTAGGAAGGACACATTTTTGTTTCATACAATTCTCCATGGATGTAGGTATGCCAAACCAAAGAGATTATGACAAACAAGGAGTTGGAGAAAGAAAGGGGACTTTCCAGATATACCATCTCATCAAAGTAACAAAGACGCCACTATGCACATCACTGCAGTCCAACAGCAGATTCTTCATTTTCTGCTCCTCCCAAATCATTTTCATTCCATACCATTTGTTCAACCCTAGATGCTTATTAATATTATGCCAGGAAATGATATGCTCTGTTTACATTAGAAAAGTACTTCAGATTCACCTGGCACCTTTTTGAGCTATAGCTTCACTATTTGGGGCAAATGAATAGTCTGAAGTCTAAAGCCTGCCACACTAAAGCTATGGACTTAATCCATCTGCCTGTAGAATGTTTAAATATTTAAATTTAACTATTGACATATTTTAAACATGTTTAGCTAAACATTTGCTTGCTTCCATTTTCTGTGCTCTAATTAAGGATGTTGGTGATGTTCTGCCAAGCCAGGCTCAGAAATAAACTTCAGGAGCTTATTAAAGCAAATCGCAGAACAAAGCCGCACTTTAACATTCACAAAACTCTTCCTCTGGCTTAGATTCCATCCAAGAATGTCCAGTTCCCCACAAATACAAGCATAGACATGTCCACTGCATTTCCTTATCTACAACCCCACCACCACTTAAACACATTTCCTCTTGGTCTTAATGACACTCCCATCACCACCTGCTCAAAGTTTATCCCTCTCTAACCTTTTGTAGATGCAGAGAAGTTACTTAATTACTTGCGGGTAGTTATTCTACGGTACCCAACAGCTACCTATTCTAAAATGTTATTTTTCCATGAGGTACTTCAGTTGTGGTGTTTGAGAACTACATGTTCTGTTGTTCCATGATTAAACTCTTATCTCTTGGGCCAGTACAACTAGCTCATCTGGACCAACCACAAGCAACCAGAACAGTGATTGTCCTACTGAAAGTCTGGATCTATAAGAAGTAACCCACAAACTAGTTTGCATGGAAGCTTCCCAAGTCAAGCAGAAGTACAGCCCACAATGTGTGTCTCATTTGCTTTCCTTTTGCTCTGCCACCTACCTCCTGTTTTTAAGAAGATTATGCAAATGTAATTAAAATACTGTCTAGGGCAGCAGTCCTCAAATTTCTTCAATAGGGGGTCAGTTGAAAGGCTGTGGTGACCGTCGTGGGCCAGTGAGGTGGGGGTGCCTGGGGGTGCGCGACGGTGAGGTGGCTTCAGGCGCGTGCAAGGCAGCATTGGGCGTGCGCGGCAGTGGCTCACTCGCTCGGAGATCTCCCAGCAAGCCCAAAACCATCTCCTGGCGAGCAAGCCGCCACCTCCCCAGCAAGTGTGCGGGTGACCAGCAAGCGTGTGTGTGGGCGGCGAATGGTGGCGCAGGTCGGATGGATGGCCATGGCAGGCTGGAACCCTCCCACGGGCCGTAGTTTGAGGACCCATAATCTAGGGGCGCTGCGCAGGCACAGCACCCATAATGTGTGATGCACAGAGGCCACAATTAAGAACAAAGGACAGGGACAGCCTGGTTACCCAAACTACTTGTAAATAAATTGTGATTGATACCAGAAAAAAAAAGTCTCCAAAAATAAACCATGACAAGGCAAAGTCATATTCTGAACACAGAGAATTACAGAATTCTTCACATGGATTCCCAAATATATTTTAACACTGTTACTAGTTCACATTTCTTATATATTGTCTTTATTCACTTGAGATTTCAAGACTCAAAAGCTGAAAAATGAGTTCTACACAAGGAGTTACGAGAATCATGTTTATAAAATCAGCTGGCCATACAATACAGATAGGTCAGAGTTTACAAGAATCTTATGGATCCTGCTTCTGGTTGGTTTATTTATTTGTGTTTCAGATTTGAAGCATCTATCAGTGTGGTAAGCTGGGAGTTGTAGTCCAACTCACCTGGAGGGCACTGGGTTGAGGAAAGCTGCCCTATTTCATAACTATTACATGAAGGTATAACCCTGATTGTCACAATAACTATTTGTTCTGCTGAGTTTTATTATAATTATATTTTAAAATATAGAAAACCCGACCATGAATGGACATCTCAAAATCAGCATGACATTAACTGCCTTTACTTTAAACTTCAGGTCAGTTGAAGAGAAATCTGGCTCAGGAAATAAAGATCAGAAAGTGAGGCACTACTAAAGAAAAACTAGTTCAGACTATTTAGGGACTCTTGCTCAGCTTCAAGAACAGGCCAATCTAAGACTGGTACCTCTATAACTTTCAAGGACCAACTAACAGCATGTGCGCCTAATGCCATACTCCTAATCATGGAGTGCTAATCCCAACAGGATGGGATGAACCCAAGAAGGACACATTTCAGAAGAGTGTCCAGATACTTCTCTCTACTTCAATGTCCTTAGACTAAGCAGGATGGCCTGCTGGAAGCACACAAAAGAATTGGTGATCAGATCTATAGCATGAATAGGATAGAGGGACTGGACAGCTAGGTAGAGCATTCTGCACAAAACAAACAACTTACTCCAGAACTCTGAAAACTATCACTAGGTTTTAATTTGGAAAGCTAACCCAGAACTAATGTAGTAACACACAATTTTATCATGCATCAGTAGTTTTCATATGGCAATGTATCAGTGCAGTCATATGAACTAGTTCTACCGTCTTATCCAAACTTCCTCCTCCAGAGCACAAAGAAGAGCATGTTACAACAGCCAACAAAACAGCAGTGACCATGGGAGTTTTACCATTTAAGACTAAACACAAAGGATGGGGAACACATAATCTCCTAATTGCTGCATGACACTCAATTTGATGGCTCACTTTCCAGTCTTTTTAATGCTGTTATAAAACATGGAGCACATTGTGCTAGAATGTTAAGTTTTCAAAAATGTGTAGCTTTTAGAACCCCTTCTATCAGTTACAGTTGCATGCCAATTCACCAACGCAGGGATTCCCAAATTGGTGGCTGGAGGCCCACCTGTTCATGCAAAAGTGAGGTCTTATTTTGTGAAGCAGAGAAGTGGGGGTTTATTTCCCTACATTGCAAGAAAATTAATAAGCAGGTCATGCTGAAGTTTCCAAATTATGGATCATGACCTCACGAATTGCCATAATGGAAGAGTGCGATTGCAAGTCCTCACAAGCTCACACCTAAGACAAAGTTGTCCAGCATGTTTCAGAGCAATTATGATTAGTCCACACTAGCACTTATACATCTGCATATTATGAGGCATCATGCATATGTGCAGCTTTCAAACCTGAATAGATCCAAAGCAGGCCTTGGAACCTTGTTGCAAATCTGGGTTCAATGCCTCTAAAGCTCTGTTTGGGTATGAAAGTGATATACGGAAGAGCTATTATATGCTGATGGTCTTGACAAACTTAGAAAGGGATGTGATTTGCTCCTGAGTGGAGATTAATGTGAGCCACTGTAAGAAAAGCCAACTAGCAGTATGTTTAAATAATTATTTAAATATACTTCCATAATGATCATAGCATATCATTATGATCAAACTGGAATCCTCAGAGCAGCATCTTAAAAAGCAAGTAAAGAAAAACCATGGGGAAATGTACCTTTCTTTGCTTTCTTCTGTAGTTTCAATGTGTCTGAAGATTTCTTCTTTATCTCCTGGCGGGCTTTTTTGTATTCTAAAGGGATACACACATTTAACACATTTGATGAGTGTAATATCAACACATTTGATGCATTTGCCATGCTAACCTTGAGGATATTGGATGAGAAAAGGAATGATGCAGGTGAAGAATATTTAACCGTATAATTGCACACATGTCTACTCAGATGGAAGCTTGAGTTCAATGGGGCTTATTCTCAAGAAAATGTGCAAAGGACGGCAATCTAAAACACTTCAAAATACCTTAAAGTTTACCAAGAAGATGCATGCAGAAGATCCAGAAAGAAAAGAAAGCACACAATTACCTGCAACTAGGGCGTTCACAAGGAATCACAAAGAAGATTTCATAAGAGCAAACTCCCTTGTTCGGTTATGCATAATGAAAAGCAGGTTGAACAGGGCCTGACTCATTGCCTGCTAAGGGCAGGACTCTGCTTGGCCAGCACTCTGAGTTCCATTTGCTACCTCTGTGGCTTACGCTTACATACACACACTTAATAAGTAAAAAAGGAAATTACAAACTTTCTTTTTATTAAATTGTTAAAAACACAAAATTAAGAAGCAGCAATAACCAAGAATAGCCAGACAGGCAAAGAGTTATCAAGTTAGCACCGCACCTTGCGTTCTGTTATGGTGTGTTTTTTAACTTTTATTTGCTTATATTACCATTATAATTTGTAAAATAAGTTTTTATTTTAAATAATAATGCTATAGTAATTATCTTTTAAAATTATTTTAATTATACAAAATTATTTTCTTTCTCTGGAGTTTAGTATATACGATATTAATTTTAAAAAACACATATACACAATCTGTGTGATTACCAAAACCTGCCACCAATAACTACAGGGCTGAAAATCCCTACATAAACTGAACACATTACCTTGCCCTTTTTCGAGAGAGTTGTTTCATAGGTAAGCAAGGGTAAATGAAGATGCAACACTGGTTCCCTCTTATCAGAAAATACCTGCAATATTACACCCTATGTTGCTAACAATCCCATGTCCTGAAAATATTAGAAATATACCTGCCTGAAAAGTGAGCATTACACTGATACAAATATTTGCCACTGTTCAAGCTAACCATGGTTCTTATTCAAACAAAATTTGAAATCAAAAACATTAAACTATTGTTTTACAGGAAACCTGCTTAAAGCTAACCAGGTTTCCTATGAAACCATGGCTTAATTTTGCTGCTTTAACCAAAGTTAACATTGCCACTAACATGGCACTTAACCATGGAAGGGGAAATCTGCTCCATACATGTGAAGGGATGCAGCAAAACAGCATATAATTCCCACTATCCATTCCCAATCTCTTCCCTAGGATGCCAGCGCCACATCTGCACCTACCATCACCACCTTACGAGCTGGCTGGCTAACGCATTTTTTTCTTGAAGATACCGCACGAAAGCAAGGGTATTTGGGAAGAATCATTTATCCATATTTAAAAATTAGTAGCATCTATCCCTCCTGCTATGACTACCTTTTGCATGGTCTTTATCCAGTTGATTGGCCACTTTCTTCCACTCTTCCATCTGCTCTTGGAGTGGGTTTATCAGACAGTCAATTAAAGCACTAATTTTGTTGAGAAAACACAAAGAGGAATCAAATCCTGCAGGAAAAAAATCAATCTGAAACTACATTAATACTTTCATGGAATCCTCTGAAATCCATTCATTTCTGTTAACATTTATACATATATTTTTGATTGCTCCACGGTGCTTCGTTTACCTGATCTTACCACATCCCAGCAAGGTAGGATTCATATTGTTGTTTGAATACTGCAAGTCCAGCAAGAGGGGTGAGGGACTGAAACAAAGTGGCCCGCCAAAAGCCACTTAGCAAATACGTGGCACAATCCATATTTGACCAGCCTAATCTCTCATATTCAGAGTTACCAGTTCTTAGAGCAGGCCCTTTTTTAAATTCTTTTAACAAATATTTATTTTATTTATTCTTTTTTATCATTCTTTTCCAGCAATAGCCGAAGTTCTCAATAGGAGGAGTCCCTTGGCACTCCTCAGTTACTGCTGAGCTACAGTACTATCAAGGACAGGAATTCCTAGCATGTAAAAGAGACTTCAGTCAGCAAGTCTGGTTTCTTGGGATGGACAGTTAAATCTTTGCCTTCTACAAAGCCCAGTCTGTTTGATCAGAGAAAAGGAAAGGGTGTTCTCAGCAACAGAAAGTCAGAGGTTAGCTGGAAGCCAGCCCCAGTAAACAACTTAATGTGGCCTTGAATGAAAGGGGCTGTGTACCAATTACATCTTGACTGCAATCCAGAAGCTAATGAAGGACCATTTCCAAACTCTTGTCAAATCAGCGACATGCATTACTCACCTTGAAAACTGCCTGAGCTTCGACTCAATGCTTCTGTGCCTCATGCACATTCTGGTCAGAGCAGAGCCAATTTCTCTGGTAGCTCCTGAAAAAGAAGAAAATAGACCTCTATATTAAAATTTCAGAAGGAATAAAAAAACACTATTTAAAATACAGACTAGAATAGAGCATCAAATCTAAGGACCAGGTTCTTATCCAAACTCATTGAGGATTTAATGCCGACCACAGCACCTTCACAGAAATTACTGAGCCATGTCCAGGGCAGGAAACAGATGGCTTTAGTAGGGCAAGGTGCTTATCAGCAATGGTGGATCTGCATGCCACAGAATTAGCCTGAAAGAAGTCTAATTGAGAGTTATGTGGAAATGGGATGGTTTTGTGCCCAATTTGGCTGGAATATGCGTTTTTGGAGAAAAATTATATGCTGTTCACACAGCATCTGCTGGGCAGAGAGGCTGTCTCTCCAGATGATTGGAGGCTGGCATGGCTTGCAGAGACAGCAAAAGAAATGAGAATAAATGAAGAGATAAAAATAGCTAACCAGAGTCCCCCAGCCTATATGTAACAGTAAAAAGGGATTATTCAGTCATGCAATGGAAAAGTTTAGCAGAAGCAGGAAGCGTTTCTCACCTAAAACTAAAGGGAGGTAGGCAAGCAGGCAAGCGCTGTACTTGAAGAAGGCCTGGCTTCATGTGGCCAAGGACTAAGGCTCACATCAGCCCATTCAAGAGGATCTCCTGAGCAGAGAAGGTTTCAATTCCTGCCTTTGAAATTATCTCCCTTTGCTACTGCTGTGCAATAGGCATCAGCCTTGGTATCTATCACACTGCTCAAGGCACAACACAATTCCAAGGGGAAACCTCTGAACTCTGAGGGGGGAAGTGATGTGCTGCATCTCAGAAATACTCAGAAAGAAAAAAGTAGTCTTTCTGTTTTGTGCTTCTCTCCAAGGCTCAGCACACCGGAGATAAAGAGTCTTTCTCCAAGCTCAGAAGGAATACAGAAAATCTGCATGAAGGTGAACTCATGCCATTAAAAGTTGTACTTGTCCATCGTGAGTGCATCTGTGCATTCTTGCACCTCCAGATTCTTGACAAAGAGGCATGTGTGCATTTTAGTCATCCATGAGAGCAGAACTCTAGATAGGCCACTAGTTCACTGCACATCAGAGGGCAATTGCTCTAGATGTTTCCCCAGAGCAAGCGCTTGCATCTCATCATGCAGCTGCTGCATAATTTATGAGGGAGAAGAGACACATGGTTGTTTCTCAGTCACAAAATCAGCTCACACTGGCTCCAGGGACCTCAACAATATGATGACACAGCTAAGTGCCTATTAATGAGATTCCACAGTGTGGAATTCTTGAATCCCCAGTAGATGGCACCATTTGCACAAAACAAGAACTACCTTTCTGATCAGTGTTCCAGGACTATTCAATTCCAGCACTCTGTTTCCAGTGGAAGAAAATGCCAGATGCCCTTGGGGAGACTCAGGACATGATGAAGACAATTATCTCCAGTTTGTCCTTAGCATCTGATAATCAGATATAGCAGCTGTTCTCAACTTGGGGTTAGAAGTACTGAAGAGTAGAGTTGGAATGGGTCTGGAATGCGATCCCCTGCTCAATGCAAGAATACTACTTGGGGTTTTGCCTCACATGTATTTTACCTCTCCAAAACACACCTATGCTAGTGGCTATGGTGACGTCCATGCATTAATGGAGGTGTTCATGTGATTATGGAGCTGCCAGGTATGCCCTACAGGGCTCTACTCCATTGGTGCATGGCTTTTCCCCTCACCCCAACATCCACCCACTGGACACAGACATTGCAGGCAGTGGTGTGTTGTCCTCCTAACCATTTAAGCACGTGGACCCCCTTCATAAGAACATCCAGCAACATCCCCAGCCCCTTTCCACCAACAATGGGTATACATAGGCATACTATACTTCTGCAAGAGTGCTTGCACTGCAAGCTGCTGTGGATAGGCATACACCAGCTCATGTGATTGTTGCATGATGGAAGTTCTTGAAATAATGAACTCCACATACATTTTGGGTGCAGCTATTACATTCTGATTGTCCTGAATCTATTGTCTCATTTCACTAAATGGTGGGCTCGAACTCTAGCAATTTGAGTTATCTCTTATTATTTCCCCCACACTAGGTATTCTAGCAGGCATGCACAAACGGCTAGTTGTCCTGAAGGTGCTGCCACCTGCACAAGCACTACAAAAGAAGTTTGCAAACACCCTTCAATTTTAAACTGCTAGTGGGTAAGCCACATCATCTCCAGACTGCCACTGTGTGGTCCTATCTCTGCACATTTTTTTATCTTTAGAGAATTTTCTTGGTGAATTTGAGGGAACAGGAAAGATTTGAAACGTTAAGGGTTGTATCAACTGATATCATGGCAATGATGTGATCCATCGCATGGAGCAACCCATCTGCACAGGAATGGCATGCCTAAGCTGTCCTATGCACATAGGCCTCAAACCAATGACATTCTCTGGAGACATTTTCGGGGGCCAGTACCAGTGAGGCCTAACATTTAGGTCAACTTCAATGCATCATTCATATGTGTAAGCAGCTGAGAGGACTGGCCCATCTTTGCTCCACTTTAAGTGACAGGCTGGAATTTAGGCTTTTTTAACTACTGCCATGGCTCAGTCATAAGGTACATATTTCAAATGCCAAGTATCCCAGGTTCAAGCCTTGGTATCTCTAGGAAGGACTAGGAAAGATTTCTGTCTAAAACCCTGGAGAGCCACTATCAACAGTGAAGATGATACTGCTTTAAATGAACCAAGAGTCTGACACTGGATAAAGGCAGCTTTATATATTCCCAAAGATTATCTTCCAAACTGCAACAGAGAAAATATGTGGGCACTCATGTGCCATCCTCTTGATCCCAGCTCATCCCTTCAATGTATAGTTAGGGCCCATTCATACAGAGCTTAGACATGTGGGTTGTATCAACAGCAGCCTACAGGTACAAACCTCAATCTTCTATAGCATCCCAATAAAGCAACCAGTCCACAAGTACTTGGACCAGCTTTCACCAATCTGGAACCCTCCCACTGTCTGGGACTACAATTCTGTGATTTTCAGGTAGCCAGCCAATGGCCATGCTTGGCTGGGCATCATGCGAGTTGTAGTCCAACATATTCAGAGGGCCTGAGTTGGGGGAAGGTTGTCTTAGATTGCAACAGGCCCTGGTAGCTCCACAGGAAACAGCCTGGGCACATAAATATGGCTCGGGCCTACTTATACCAACATCTACTTACTCCTTGGTTCTCAGTGTAATGCAGAGAGAAGCCCAAGGCCTGCTGCCTGCCATATGTATAACCTACTCGATCAGGTCATCTGTAAACTCAAGGCGGAACATTACAACCTTATTTCCCCCATTGTGAGGGATTGCTTGAAAGAGCCTCACAAAATAAACAGTTCCCAGTCTAGTCAAGGCAGTTCTGTTAAAAGGAACCAACCCTGAAGAGAAGCTCTGTGAAGCATCCTGCCATAAACAGCGGCAGTGCCATTTGATGCAAGCTGTCATGAGCTTTGTTTTCTCCCCTCAGAGCTGCCGCCTCGCATACAGGAGGCTGCTGCCATCTTGAAACCCATCAGGGTGTTAATGGACACCCAGGCATGTGGCCATAGAAAGGGGCAAGTGGTGTTTATTTATACCCTCATCTACTGTTCCAAATGAGCGGGCATCTGCCACAGCTCAAGGGGGAGTAATGGGGAGAGGAGAGAGAAAACTTAATTCTTTTGTCAAAGCGTATTTTCTGCAGTAACAAGGCTGTGTGTACAAATCTCCTCTTTGAAAGCTAATGTTGTTAAGGGCCTAATTAGGAGCAGGAGGAGGAGGGGAATCATCAGGAATGCAAGCACAGAAGTTAACAGATGCAGTATTCAGATGGAGGATGTGGGGCAGAGCTTAAGAGGTGATGGAAAAGACATCCGCCTGAAGACCTTGAGGAGTTGCTGCCAGATATTATAAGACTAAATGGACTGAGGGTCTGACTCATATAAGGCTGCTTCCTCCCCTACCAAAAATAAAAGATAAAAATAAAGCCCTAGCTATAGTTAAACCTCTAAGACTGGCTACCAGAAGCATATTCAGAGGGCCTGATATTAAAAAAGTAGGTTGGATCCAGAGTTATCCCCCTATCATCCTTTGTCCTGTGCCCTTTTCCAGCAAGGAGAAGAAAATAAGTGGAACAGATGGAAAGAATAGAAAGAGGCAGACAACGAAGAACACAAACACAAAATAAATATAATCTGAAGACATGCAGACATGACAGAAAAAGGATTACGTGGGATACCAGCTGTCCTTCCCTCCCACTTACAATATTGCCTGACTCCCTAAAAAATATTCCAAACTCATGACATTTCTGTTTCTGAGGGAGTAACACAAACATTTCGTTTAACTGCCCCCATGTGCTCCCCCTGCTACAATTATTTCATCTTTTGCTCTTAAACAGCTTTTGCACTGTCCACATCAATAGCTTAATTGCCCGGTTATCAAAAGAAACAATGTTAAGCTAACAACACAATCTATGTGTTCAGAATGCACATTTACTCCCATGTAAGCATGCACACAAATACAGTCCAAGTATAATTTTCTAATGACATTTGAGCCAATCAGAGTGTTAGCAGCTTCATCTAATTATTAGGCATATATATTTTTACATATTATTTTTGGTCTGAAGTATAACACATTGCTTTTTCCTTTGTTATACTTCCCCAAAGTGTGTGCACGATAAACACAGTAAAATAATATAAATGAAATCCAGATTCTAGTATTGCTGCAGGCATAGCTAAATTCTTTGGGCAACACGTGCACATGCACCAAATTTACTCCCCACCTGTTTTCCTTCCAATGAACTCAAGACAGCTTATATAATTCTCTCCTTTCCCTCTCAATGTTGTCCTCACAACAACCCTGTGAGGTAGGCTGAGCTGAGAGTCTGCCCAACTAAGTCACCCACTTAGCTCCATGGCTGAGTAGGGACAAGAACCCAGATCTCCTGAGTCCGGGTCCTGCACTCTGAATCACACCACACTGGCGCTCCAAAGAAATA